CATATAGTTGCATCTTTTGTTGCTTTAATGATTTTATGGGATTTTCTTTACAATTAGAAATAGAAATCTTTTACTAAACAAGCCTTAATAGGGTTCCCAGGAAGTTGGTGAAATTACTTGTCTTGCCTTTCCATGCATAAAATATTTTATTTTGATAACTTGGTCACATGTAATTGAATGTTTTGACATATTAAGTTAGTTGCATGTTTTGACATATTAATTAACATGTAAATGTTTTGAATTTTTTATATTTGCAGAAAAGCCTAAGCAAGACTAAAAAAAAAATGGAAAATGAAAATAAATCTTAACAAAAGAGAACTTTAAAAGAAAGTCAGCTTGAAGAATTTTAGAGTTTAATAATTAAAAGTGTTCAGCCTAAAATGAAGACTTAGCTGAAAAGGTTTTAAAGTCATCAGATCTAAACTTGCTTATAAACATAGTATAAATTAATTTTATACAAGCATGCTCTTAAGACTTCTTAAGAATAAAAAGGCTACTATATCAAAAATCTTTTATCAAAAAAATTTATGGCATCCAAATTAAACCACACATGCTAGTTTAAAAAATGGCTTTTTAGTTTTGTTTTGATTGCCATATATTTAAAGGTAGAAAATATAACTTCTAAAATTCAAAAAAAATGTTGTTATTTGAAATTGGTAGCATAAGAGGTGAGAAGACCTTCAAAAAACATATTATATACTATCTATACCGCCAATGCAGAGTCCGAATAAGCATTCTTGGCATCTGAATTTTTTTGTTCAAAAATTTTATCCTTCAGCCAATTGTTGTGGTGATTTTAAAGTTCATCACACTGAATGGCTTGGCTCTTATGTCAGTGACTCAGCAGGTGTTAAGGCCCACAACTTTTGCCTTTCTCAATCTCTAACACAAATAGTCAACTTTCCAACTTGTTTTCCAGACAATCCGAATTATTTCTCTCTACTCAACTTATGTCTTTTTTCTGATCCTAGTCAGTGCTCAGTTTCTCCACATTTACCATTAGGTACTTTTGATCATAGTTTGATCTCTCTATAACTCATCCTTCTTCTTCATCGGAATCCCCCTATCATTGTACCTCTTACAACTACCTTAAAGCTAACTGGGACTCTTTCTGTAATTTTCTTTATGATGGCCCTTGTAGAAATCTTTTTTTTCCTCTCAATGTGCTGCTGCAATGTCCAATCATAACCATTATTTTCATATCTATCTTCAAAGACATCTGTTTACTATTGTTAGAAACCATTGTAAAAAGGTTTTCTCTAATGCCAAAGCCCGTTATTCTCAGGTCATGAAATCTCGTATTTCATCTCAAAAATTAGGCTTCCAAGTCATTTAGAGAATCTTTAACTGTGTCTATAATATGGGCAAATCTGTTATTCCACCTCTTTTGCATGGTCAGATTTTGTTACCTTACCAAAAGATATTGCTAAATTATTCGCTAAGAATTTTTCATCATTCTCATCTCTTGATTTTGCATAAGTGTGAAATGCCAATTCGCATTTATACCTATGTTTGCAAATTCTTTTGGCGCACTTTTGCCAGTTCACACTTACGCTGATTCACACATATTCCATTTTTCGCAACTGCTTTGCACTTATGCCAATGTTTGCAAATTCTTTTGGCGTACTTATGCCATTTTGCACATATACCAGTTAGCACCTATGCCAATTTTTGCAACGCTTTGTACTTAAGCCAGTTTCCAATTATGTAATTCATACTTATTTAGCTGCCTGCGCTGGTCTTCTCCATGAGCTCTCTTCTTGCAGTGTATCAGGTAACATCTTTAAGATTATTGAATCCTTTTTCACCAATCGTAATATAAAAATTGTCCTTGAGGGGCAGCACTCTTCTCTATTTCCTGTAATTTCATGGGTTTTTCAATGTTCTATCCTTGGTCCTATACTTTTTTAAATTTATATTAACCATCTCCCAGAAATTCTCACATCTAAGGTGGCATTGTTCACTGATGATACTTCCATTTATTTTTGTCTTGATAAGAAGTCAACAATCTTTGATTACTTTCTGATCCTGGGGGCATTTAAGAAGGATCCCGCTTTTGCTACAGCATGCGGCTCTCAGTGGCTGGTGAACTTCAACTCAGATATAAAAATTTTTTCAGCTAATTGATATCGCAATAATCTAGATCTTCCTATTTTTATGAATCGTAATGTACTCGATGAGTCATTTACTCTTCGTTTTCTAGAATTAATTCTTACTTCAAATAGAATATATATATATATATATATATATATATATATATATATATATATATATATATATATATATATATATATATATATATATATATATATATATATAAATGCAAAAATATATATATATATATATATATATATATATATATATATATATATATATATACATATATATATATATATATATATATATATATATATATATATATATATATATATATATATATATATATATATATATATATATATATATACATATATATATATATATATATATATATATATATATATATATATATATATATATATATATATATATATATATATATATATATATATATATATATATATATATATAAATGCAAAAAATAAACATTCATTAAAGTTGTAATTATTTATAAAAGTTGTAATTTTTGTGGTTTTTTAAAAAGTAATAAAATTTAATATACTTGCGTCATAAATGTATGGTTTCAATGTGTAGGTTAATGTAATTTAAGGTGGGAATACTATTTTCACAGTAATCTGAAAGATACTTAAGAGTTTAATTAAATAGGATTGACACATCTCATGATGATGATTCTTTGACAGATGTCAAATAGATGACAGATGATGATGCCAGATTCTAGGAGGTAAGAAGGCAAGATTTATATAAACTCTTGTTAAATTGTTTCACAAAGTAAATTCTTTCACAGAAGAAAGTTTTAAATGTAAAATTTTGGTTTAAAAGAAAAAAAGTTTTTTAGAGTTTTTTATATAGTATAACATAAATACAAAAAAATATATAAGTATAAACATATATAAAAAAATATAAGTATAAACATATATCAAAAAATATTGCTACTACATATTAATGTTTTGAAAGTTGTTGAAAAAATCAAGTTGCAAAATTGTCACTATTAGTGACTTTAATCTTAAAACTCTTTCATGCTTCATTTGAAAATTAAAAAAAAATGATTTCTAAAATAAAGTGATCGCAATTTGGCTTTTTCATTTTCCTTAATTTTTAAATCTTGGCATTCCTAGTGGCATCCTGGCCACCATTTTGTTGATCACCATCCTGGCATTGCTAGTGTAAAACTACTTCCACTTGAAATTTTCTGGTATTCCAGACAAAATATTTATTAAAAAAAAAAATTCTTAATTCTAATATAATAAGCAAAATAAATTTTCTTGATTTTACAATTAAATATCAAATTGTTATAAAGTGCTGAAAATATTATCTTTTGTTTAAATAGTTGAACAAATGATTTTTTCTGTTTAAGTATATATCAGTACATATTTAGTTTAACATATATGGGTGCTTTATTATTATAGGGAAATATTTTACCCAGAGTTCACCTCAGTATGAATACAGAAGTACTTCTACAAGAACAAGTTTGTTTATTTTTTTAATGTGTTTATTTAAATTATGTTAAAAATACATTAGCTTAATAAATCTTTTGTTTTAGTTTTTATTGATTTTAAATGTTTTTTTTGGTTTTATCTAGTGTTATAATTATTTTTCATTATTAATAATCTGTTGTTCACCCATTAATACTATCTGCCTTTATACTGTTTTCCATGGAATTTGATTATTGAAATCCTAAATTTTCGTTTTGTTCTTCTGGAGAAATTTCATGTTACCAATCCCAAATACCAATACATTAAGAATATAGTCTAAAAAATAGGTAATATATACGGCATGATATTGGTAAGAAAAATAAATAGCATGATGTTGTTAGAAAGTTCAGTAAAAGTAGATCTTTAATTTAAGTTATTTTTTTGTAAAGTAATTAATTTTTTTTATTGACTATATATATATATATATATATATATATATATATATATATATATATATATATATATATATATATATATATATATATATATATATATATATATATATATATAGATAGATAGATAGATAGATAGATAGATAGATAGATAGATAGATAAATAGATAAATAGATAGATAGATAGATAATAGCCTTTTTTATACAAGTTGCCTTTTTTTGGCTACTTATATCTTTGCTTGGTGTTTTTTAAATTAGAGGTAAAAACTTTTATGCTATGCGTCTGTTTTCGTGTGTCTTTGCTTTCAATTTTTATTTTAACAAGTATGTTACTATCTACGGCTGTTTCAGAGTGAGCTTTACGGCTTCTTGTTTTTTTTTTGAAAATTTTGACTTAGGGGGTTTTACTAAAACATTTATAACTTTTGAAATATTTGAAATAATTTTGTTTTGTAAAAGGAATAAAAACAAAAATAAAATGTTTTATCATATGACATTTAATACAATAGTAAAAAAAACTTCTTTTAGTTTATAAAAAGCGCAACAAATGATGATGGTTTAATTTTAGTAATTTGTTGATACTTTTTATCAAAAAAAAATCAGAAAAATATATTTCTGATTGTTATTATTAAATACACTCATTGTTTAATATTAATAAAATAAAAAAATCTTACTTAATTGTTAAAGGAAAACTAAAACAGTCTTTCTTAAAGTCTGCAAGCAAACCGCATTTCTTGCAAATTATGAAAAATGTTGTTAAGGGGGGGATTAGCTGTTAAATGAGCACGTTTTTAAGTCTAGAAATTCTTGTTTTAGAAAATAATTCACTAAGTTTATTATATATTATATATTATAAGTTTATTATATATTATATAATTATAAGTATATTCAATGCATTATAAAATAAAACAATGTTTTGCGCATTAAACTAGAAATATTTTTTTCTAAACTAGCTAAGTTTTAAAACATATTTCATAACATAGCTAGAGGTACAGCAAACAATTTTTTGATTTTTATATGCAGAAAGGGTTGAAATTTCAATAATTTGGTGCGGATTACAAAAATAATACGATTTTCATTATTTAATAATAAAATTAAAAATATAAATGCATTAAAAAATAGTTAAAAAATAAAAAATAAGCAATCCGCACCAAAAATTAGTCACATTACCAAATTTTTAAACTGTATTAATACTTGATTGGTAAACTTCTCCAATTTTATAAATTTTTTGTAAATTGTTGTGCTCTTTTCTGTGTTCAATATTTGAGAGCTAAAAGGTAATTCTTACACAATACCTCTAGATTTAGATTTAAAAGCAAATAAAAAAACAAACAAAAAGAAAGTTAAGTTAACAGACCTCATTTCAACACCATAATCAAAATTTTGAAATAAAATTGGATAAACAAGGCATTTTTTCTACTCCAATATAAAATGTTGTGATGATAATAACTAATAGTAATTTAATAAACGCCAAAATTTGAATTAACAATAATAATATTTGGAATCCATTTGAATTTTTGCTCAAGAAATTCCAAAACGACACAGGTTAGTCACGTAAAATTATTAATTTTTTGAGCTAAACTGAAGTCAAATCTGTCGGAAAGTTTTTGTCGGAATTAGTTTATCTCTATTTGTCTCTATTTTTTTTTTAATATTTGATCATACTAGGAAGAAATTACATGCTTTTATCATTTTTAAAACGTAGTTTTCTAAAGCGTTGAAGTGTGATACACCAATAAAAAACAAATAAAAACTGTTTTACAATGCATCATTGAAAAAGTAATCTTTAGGACTTTTTTCAACAATTCATCAAGATAAAGAAATTTTTTTAGTGCTGTTGTAACATTTTTGTAAATATTTGTGATATGATTTTTATTACGACGACATAATTATCAAAATTATAAAAATTTTTTTTTGCTTTTCACAAAAAATTATCTTTCTTAGTTTTTATTTTGTATATATATTTTCATTGAAAAGGTTCGTAAAACATTGAAAACTTTAATAGTCTTTCTCAGTTTTGTATGAGCTTCTACAATAGCTGTAATAATTTTTTTACGTCATGTAAATTACCGAACACTTTTTACATAAAAGGTGTGATGCTATTTCATTGCAGTTATGGATGGGATTTGTTCATAGCAATCATGTGTCGCATAATTGCTTATTTTATTCACGAGTAGTACGGTGTTTGTCCATTGCAGCTATGAATAGCTTGATGTTTGCTCGTTTCACTTTTAAATAAATACAAATTAATTTTGAGTTGTTTTTAAACTCTTTTAAATCTTTTAGACACGACAAACTATGAAAACATTCAAAACACAATACGAAACGATGAAGATGAAGACCTTCAAAGAGCTATACAAAATAGTTTGAAAGATTTCAACTTCCAAAGTCCTCAACCTCCATCTAGTTATCAAAATCCACCTTCATATGGATGGAATATACAGAGCTCATCAAATATACAACCAACCGCCCCATTCTTTGAAACATTTGATAATAGTAATAGAGATTTGCCCTACCCATCTAATGAGTATAATTTTACTTCAACAAATTTGACTTCACATGATATGCCGCCTGACTCGATTGCGACTAGTAAAAGTTCTTTAAACATAAATGTAAGAGAAGCAAGATTAAGAAAGTTTGAGAAGCAAAAAAATAAATAATTTAATAACATTTCTTATTTTGTAAATTGTTAATGCAAATAAATTTCATAAAAAGTTTGATAGAAAACTATAAATTGTCCAGAATTCTAGTTGTTTTTTTCTTTTTAAATAAAAGTTTTACGCTGTACTCTCGGGTCCTTATGCAAGGAGGAGAAGGGTGTGTGCGTGTGTGCGGAGTTTCAGTCCAAATCTAACAAACGGGTGGTGGTGTCTTAATTTTTAAACAGCTGTTTCAATATAATTAACTAGAATTTAATTCATTACATTCTAGTTAATTATATTGAAGTTACATATTACGGTGAGAAGTAAACGAAAACCTAAATTTTGACTAATCGAAATTTTCACCGTGTATAAAGTGTCTAATAACTACAAGTTAGATCATTTTATTAATTTATCGCGTGGTCACATGATCTAAGATGATCATTCGCGTAGTCACATGATCTAAGAATTATTCTTAAAACTCTAGTTGTAAGACAGTGCTTCTAAACATTATTAATATAAAAATATTAGCAACATTATGGAATACAAAAAATGCTGAAATTATGAACCTAGTATAATAATTTTGGCACAATGCACTTTGTGTCAGAACATGCGAATGTTAGCAAAACTGTTTGAAAAAAAAAACTTTTATAGGATATTTTACCTATCAAAATAAGAATTTTGGAGGCTAAATAATTAATTTTTGCGGTCAAAATCGGCATAACCCCGTATACACTAGATAGGTGGAGAGCAAGGTATTGGCATTTTGGATCATAGAACTAATTCTGATCAAAAAGGAAATCAAAATGGAAATATACTAAAACATTTCAACAAGAAACCAATATTTACCTCTAATTAAGTAAACCAGGTTTGTTTGTAGAATTAAGGATCTTTTTAAATTTAGCCAACAGTCTTACTGTTCAAAGTTAAATTTAGCCAACAGTCTACTGTTCAAAGTTAAAGGTTTTACTAATGTGATAAAATAATAAAATTTCTAATGCCAGTTTTACTTTTTTTAATTCAGGATTCGACATTTTTCTCAAAAAATCAAATCTTAACTACACTAACTAGAAAGTGTTTTGTTATGGTTTATTTTTTTAACATATTCTACTTGCAAAAACCTTCAATTTACCATAGTATAAGTCGAAGTAAATTAAAACTAAAAATCTAATATTTCTATTTATGGCAAACGTATGTAAAAAAAAATCAATTTACAAAAATTATTTTGAAAGAAAATACAAAAAGTATGAAAATATAAAATTCGATATATTTTGGATAATATTTAAACAGGTTTTAACGTTTAAGGTCAACATGTTTTAAAATAACAATTATTTTATATACAAACTATCATAAGATTTATTTTATCGAGAAAGTGGCTCATCGCCATCAACAGAAGTGAACATTTGATGCATTTTTTTAGAGAGTTCTGGTCCAACTTTTCTGTTAGTTTGAAGAACACCAGTACCACGACGAACCTTGTAAAAATAATATAAAATTTAAAAAATAATTTGAACTCAATGGCGAATTACATGTTTTATCAACAATGCAAAATAAAACAAATTCTTTAAAACTAGTAGCAAACGATTATCTAGTAGCAAATAGTATATTAGCACTACATAGCTATACTATTATATGAAATTGTAGCTTTAATGTTACGAATATGTTATATATATATATATATATATATATATATATATATATATATATATATATATATATATATAAAGAGAGAGAGAGAGAGAGAGAGAGAGAGAGAGAGAGAGAGAGAGAGACACACACACACACAAACACACACATAATATAAATCGGTTAACATAAAATATTACTAATTTATAAATGCCACTAAAAACTAAATTATTTATTAGTAAGAAAGATAAATTCTAATAATCTAAACAAAATTGTTACAACAATCTAACTGTGAAGTTGAACTGAGTTTTATTATTGGATATCCAAATAAAAGTTAAATACTTAAAGTTGTCGTTTCATGAACACGTGGTGGATTTGAGTTAAAAATAAAAGTAACAATCCAGAAGCTAACGATAGATCAAATTGTATAACCTTATTAAAACACTAAATGAAGTTTTTATTAAAACACTAAATGACTTAATAATTTCATTTTATAAGATTATAGATTGAAAATATGGTTAAAAATACAAAAAAACTAAAGAGAAAACCGAGTTACTTGAACTTTCAGCAATTAATTCAGGTTCTAGAACACCAAAAAAAACCTATACAAGAATTCAAATCAAGTTTTAAATTAGAGAATTAACTTTAGTGTCTTTGTTTTGATACCATAAACTCAAGAAAAACAAAAGGAGCTTTAGCAGAATTACTCTGTAATTCCAGCGTCTTGTTGTTAACCGCATGTCGACGCCATATTTTTAAGCATCATGTTGCTTATTATTAACGATTGAAATGATCTGAATCATAAATATCAAAATTTAAAAAATTCTCAAGTCTTACTGGTGATACTATTGGTGCTAATGAGCAAAAGTTACTGATTCCTAAATTAATGAGCAAAAGTTACTCAAGTCCTACTGATTCCTAGATTAATGAGCAAAAGTTACTGATTCCTAGATTAATGAGCAAAAGTTACTCAATTTTGCAAATACATATTTAGCACTAAGTATTATAAAAAGATAATCAAGGTTTTAAAAGTTAATGCAAGCAAATCTATTTCTAAAAAAAACTGAACTTTGCTTTTTCTTTTCCTCAGTTATAACCATTTTTAAATCTTAATTTTACAATTCAGTTATCCAATTTTATCCAAATTATAATTTAATTACGGTTATTTAAGTTCATAATATATTTTCTCTCTTTCCATTTTTTACACTGAATGGTTTCTTATAGCCGAATTAAGTTTAGTTGTTCAAATACAAGTACACTGATCGTTTTAAAACAAATATACAAACTTGAATGAAACAAATATACAAACTTGAATGAAACAAATAAAAGTTGAATTGAACATAAAAATGGAAAATTGTTTTTAAATTCAAACAAGCCTTAACTATTAGTATATAAAAGCAAAGAAAAAAATTTAATATTTATATATATGTTATATAAGTACAGATGTTAGTAAAAATTAGAATTAAAGTGATGCTTTTAAAAATTCAGTATATACAACAATATATTTCTTTAAAAAGTCTAGCTTTTTAAAAGAAAGATATTGTTGCCAGACATTTACCTCAATATCAGCAAGCAAGTTGACTCCAATCTCTGGTGGAAAAGATTTGTATGCCTAAAATAGTTTAAATAAAAAGATTTTTATAAGTAGTCTTACCTACGTGCTAGCATAAGTGTAAACAAGTTTTTTTGACGTTTGAAAATTTTAAGCAAATCAGGCAAATGTTAAGATAGGATGGCCAGAAGGTAAAACAAGACATTCGAGAAAAACGCATTTTAATATTATATTCAAAATTACCAAATATTTTCAGTCAAATTTTGAAAGTCAAAAAATTCTTTAATAAAGGTTTGTGAAAGTCATATCCATATAAAATCAAAAAAGTCAGTATAAAATGCAAAGGTTTTTTGTATAAACCTTTTGTTATTGTGATCGTAATTTCATGCATATGTTAGTAGGAAAACCAGGGAAAGCGCAGGAGTCTAGCAAAATTAAAGCAATTGTTAATTTTCCTTTACCTTAAATCCTTTAATAGTTTTTGTTTTATGTTTCTTAGTCTAATGCCAACCTATTTCTACACATGTCCAACACACACTTCAATCCTTAACAGTAAAATAGATTTTACATTCACCATCACCATAACTTGATAGTTACTTAAATGTTTTAGTTTATACTTAGTTTAGTTTAGGGTATGATAATGATGATGATGACCTATTTTCATGAAACTTCTTGATATTTACATTTTGTTTTTTGTTTTCTGCATGATTTACTTGTTTTAAATTTATCAGATAATTTATTTGAAATGGTTTTCAAACTCATGTTCAGCAATAAATATTGTACCAGAAACACATCTTTATTTTATTTTATCTTTTAATTTTAAATATAATTAATTCTTTCATAAGTGTAAATGTGATGTGAAACTTGATTTAAAAATGTTATATACTTTGTACATTAGTTAAAAAGTTCTTTATCTACTAAAATTGATCATCACAAAAACCATGATGGCAAATATTGTATTGTTATTTTGTTGTTGTTGTTGAGTAAAACACTAAAATAAATAAACTCGTGTCTTATAAATGTTTTTTAAATTTTTAAAACAATTTCACAAACAATTTTATAAGAAAATACTTTTAGCAAATGTTTATATTTTATAAATAATACTTATTGCAAAAATAAAAAATATTTACTTTCATAAGTAGTAAAGGTGTTGGGTAAGCTTGTGTAATTGCAACAGAAGTGTCATAGCGAACACCATAAAATTGCTGCAGCTGTTGATTCCATAATTGAAGCACTCCTTGGCCATCACTAGAAACCTTGAAAAATTATTTATATTATTTTAATATGCATATATCTTTAATATAAATTTTGTTTGAGTTCACTTAAGTAAACGGTTGTTTGAGTTCATATATGTATTGTGTACTTAAGTACTCATAACACATTCACAAAATACACAAAAATTGATAAAAAATATATTTTATAAAAAATGTCAAAATATGTCAATTAATGAAACTTAAATTTTCATTAATTAACATATTTTGAAACTTAATTCATATATTAACATATTTTGAATATGTCAATATATGAAACTTAAAGTTTCATATAATGACATATTCAAAAAATCTGGTGGAAAATGTTTTTGAACTTTAAATAAGTATTAAATCCCCCCCCCCTTCTATTATTTTGAACTTTTTTTTTTTGGTTAATTAATGTATTTTGTGACTTCTTTTTTTACAAAATTTTTTTTATAAATCAATATACTTGGCTAAAAATGTGTAAATAGGCTCTTGATCAACATAAAATGGGAAATGTCAACAAATGATAAACTTTTTTTGCGTTTAAGCATTTAAGAGTCGGTCCATACAAGTTTTATTATGTATGAATATACACTCTTAAAACTAAAAATTGGACAGAAAAAATATATTAGAAATTCAATGGATTAAAAACAGTTAAAAATCAAATACAAGCATTAACAATTTTCCAGTAACAGAAGTACATCTTGGCGCAATTATTAGAAGGGATAACAAAATGTATTAGCAATGATGAATGTAGATCATGATGATGATCAGATTCTTTGTTCTACAACTACTGAAATTAATAATGCTTGTTGATTTTCCACACCTAATAACACACCTAGCGCACCTAGTAACACTATTGCAAATGATTGAAAAAGATCATTATCTAAAAAAACTGAAGATATAATTTTCTTAAATGATATATGGTTGAAATGTTTAACTAAATTATAATTTTTAATATATGTTATTCATTATATGCATATTTATCAACAATAAGGGTGATAAAAGAGTCAAAACGACTAAAAAGATGCCTTTTTATAACTTCTAATTTAATGTTTTTATATTAAAAATAATCTTTTTTTGCTCCTGGGATTTTTTTTTGGCACCTGGGGCTAAAAGCCCTGTTGGCCACCCCTCGCTATGCTAATGGCTGCATGCATGATAGGGTATGATCTTTAATACTTTATTTAAACTAATTAATCATATATATAGATTTTAAAATCAGAAAATAATTTTTTAATTTATATTGTAACAAGTCTCTGCTATAAGTTGATTAAGCTGATCAGCTTCAGCTTGAAGCTAATTGTTGAAAATCAATCAGTCACAATCTTTGCTTGTGTTTCTCTCAGTTTTGTACTTTCAGATAATTAAAATTTCAAAATTCTATATCTATATTCAAAAATATATGGTTACTTTTAGATAACCAGAATTCAAAAAATTTATACCATATGCCATTTGTTTCAGAAAATGCTATAGAATAATAAAAAAATAATCAAAAACTTCTTTTTTGTTAAAAAGCACACTTTTGCTTTTTAACAAAAAAGAAGGCAGAAAATATTTTATCAGTTTATTTAAACCTGTTCAATGTTTTGGTAATTTTTTGAAAATTATTGCAAACATTCCATAGATTGTAAGGAATTTAGCTAGTTACTTTAACATTATTATTATTATGAATAATATTTTAAAAGTAATAAAAAATAGATGAATTTTTTAACTCACCTTTACACAGGCTTTATCAGTGCTTGCGAAATGAAGAATCGTATCAGCACTAGTGTTTCTGAAAAACAAGAAAATTCAAAATCTTTATTATTGATTTTATTTTTTAAATGATTCTTCTACTAAATTACTTTGATTTTTATTTCTTATTTCAGTAATTATAAAATTCTTATGTCAAAAAAATAAAATTTCAACAAAAAATTACTTTTGTGAAGCACTAGCAAGAGCTTTTGTATATGAAGAAACTAATTCTGAGAAGTCTTTCATTTGTTCTGCAAATCTATACTTAACATCTGTAAATATTTGCTGCTTCGCTAATGCTTCTTCAATAAAATCTCTACTTAAAAAGGATGAAACAATCTTTTGTTGTTTTTTAACAGGATCCTTGTCAGTTAACACTTGCTTACGGTATAACTGATTTTTGCTTGTCTTGGCTTGTCTTACAAAGAAAAATATTAACTTTAATAAAGAATACGTTAATCATTCCATTTTATTTGCTCTATACATTTTTACCATACAATGTTAAACTTTTTTTTATTGAAGATTTAATAAAGTTGAGCAAAAAAAAAAATCTACCATTAGTGTATACATAAAATCACAAAATTTACACTTTAAAGTTCATAATCATAAATTTTTATAAAACATTCCAAAAATAAAACAATTAACACAATTTTTAATAAAAGGTTTATAATTGAAGGTTTATTGCATGTCAGCATAGTTTAGGAGAGATCCGAAGAAAAATATAGTGTTTAGTCCCTTTCGCTTTCAAAAAATGCGTTTTATTTTGTGTGCGTTTTGATTGGTTTATTTTTTTTTTAAATTACAAAGCTCATTTTATTTTGTTTACAAAATTCGGTGATTTTATTATCTACGAGTTTAGCTTAATACTATGGGGCAGAAGTTACACAAAAATTGAAACGTTTTTGTTTAGTAATTTATTCAAACGACTATAAAGAGATTATTGTAGTAAATTGCTATGAGTGAAAACTAATGTGAAAACTTTGATTTTAACGTTTTTACTGTTTACGAAAAGATAAGATAAGAGGTTTTTAGTCATTTATTGAATATTTTAAAGCTGTAAACAAACAGTCATTTTACTTTCGAACAAAAGAGACATTTTTGGAATGTAAATATTTAACACATTAGTTTAAGCTGTTTTATATGACGCTGCCCCGTCGCGTTTGTTTCAGCTGTTTTTATGATGCTGCCCTGTTGCGTTTGTTTCAGCTGTTTTATGACGCTGCCCTGTCGCGTTTGTTTCAGCTGTTTTTATGACGCTAACCTGTTGCATTTTATGTATTTTATTGGTAGTTTTGTTTTGCTTGATGCTTTGGTTAAAAAGAGATTTATAAAAAAACAATAAATTATATAAGTAAAGCTTAAATTCTACTCTAAAAATATATAACAGTAATAGTCAAAAATAAGTGGAAAACTAAAAAAATTGAAGATTGAAAATATAAATTTTTGTTTTTAAGAAAGGCAAATCTCTCCTTAACTACGCTGAGATGTATGCTAAATATTTCATGTATGCTAAATATTGCTTGTGTTAATTTTTTTTTTAAAAATCAAAAACCAAACATTTTATTTCACAACATTAATATTTGAAACTCTTAGCCATAATCATCAAATTTTTAAATTTGAGAATTTTAATATTTTTTAATTTTGAGAGTTTTAATATTTTAAAATTTGAAAGTTTTAATATTTTTAAAATTTGAAAGCTTTAATATTTTTAAATTTGAGAGTTTTAATATTTTTAAATTTGAGAGTTTTAATATTTTTAAATTTGAGAGTTTTAATATTTTAAATTTGAGAGTTTTGATTTTTTTAAATTTTAAAGTTTTATTATTTTTAAATTTGAGAGTTTTATTATTTTTAATTTGATAACTTTATTACTTATTTTAAAATTGATAAATTCAATACTTAATTTCAATTTCAATACAATGTGTGATTTAAAAAGTGTTGTTTTTCAACATAATTATTTCAGTAAATAACAAATAACTCTTTTTTATTATAATATATTTAAAAAATTGTAGAACTCAATTTTAAACTTAACAATGTAAGCATTTTATAAATAAAAATTGATAAAAATATACATTTTGAGTGGTAAAAATTTTAACCATAATTTTTATATCTTCTTTTATGTGTGAGTTTTTTTTTAAATTAAGTTCTTTAATTTTAATATTTTTATTTATTTTATCTTTTGCGATTTTTATTTTTTATTTTTAAATATAAAAAGATTTAGATAGGGATTATAAGTTAGATTTTATAACATAATCAAAAATTGATAAAAAAATCATTTATTTTTCATAAATATATTTTTTTTCAAAACAAACAAATAATGAAAAAAGAGTATTAAAATTAGATTATTTGCATTTCACACTATTACATTTTGTTCCAATGAAAAGACAAAACAATTTTCTTTCTTAATATCAATCGGAAATTCAACATATATTTTTAAGTTTAAAAAACTGTAATTTTTTTTCATTTCCAAGTTTTTATAACCAAGACCTCAGAAACTGACTCAGAAACTGAAACATTGCATTAAATTTAAACTATTTCAAATTCTAATCACAAACAAAAGACTTACTGATAATATTCATTCATACCAATAATTACAATACACAATGTTTTACCATGAAACATTTCTTTAACACAATTTATTATATTAATAAGACTTTCCTTATCGCTGTCCTATAAAACAAAACAAATAAAGCAGTTGGCACGGCATATATATTAACTTTTATGCTGCATAACTAACTAAAACATCAACTTACATCTGCTTCAATACTTTTGGCTAGTTGTGCAGCAGACATCATAAACAAAGCATGTTTTTCTTCAATATACGAGCATGTTTTAGTGATCTATTAGATTTATAAAATAGAAAAAATACATGAAAAAAAAAAAAAATTAGTATCTAAAAGATATAATATCTAAATATAAATACATATATACATATGAGTGTGTACCTCTCAAAACCTCTCAGTAGAACTGAAGGATATTCTAAGTAATGTATACAACTAAGACAAAACTAACTTGACTGATAATTCTGGTTTTAAGAAAGTTATAACTAAGTCAAGTATGGTGAAACCAAATTATAAGTTAATAAAATATATGCTATGTTGGTACTTACAATATTTACTAACCAAAACTTTTATAAAGTATAAATACGATAAATCATGTTTATACATTAAAATACATTAATTTGTTAATTGTTTAAAGTATCCGTATTATGAGGCAACATTTTTTTCAATTTCTTAAGAATATTTTTGAGAAAATTAAAAAAAATAATAAAAAGCATATTATCTTTATTCCAGTTTTTTTTTATTTAAAATAGAACAAATATTGTAAACAGAAAACTGTTTTATTTAATGTTTTTTTAAAGGCCAATGCTAAAAAATGATTAAAAGAAGATATAAGAGCAAAAATGCTGAAAAATGGAAAGATTATAGAGCAAAAAAGAAACATTGTTAAAATAAAAAAGATAAAAAAAGATAAGATATTGAAAGAAAATATTGATACCAAGAAAAGAAAACAAAAAAAGGAATCAGATTAGGTTAGGAAATCAAAAATTAAGAATGAGAAAAAACTTGAGTTTAACACTGACCTCAGTTTTCACAAAAAAACTTGAATTCCACCTGACAAGTCCTATATAACTCCAAATTTTTATTGAGAAAAGCATAAAAGAAATTCTTAAGTGCTGGAACAAGTTATGTTTATTTAGTAAATAAACATTAGAAAAGAGTTAATTTGTGGATTCAGGCTGGCATGGAATCCTTTATTCCCTCGCGACAATTCCAGGTCAAGCCTCACTCTTCTCCATGGTTTTCCTCACATTATGCTGCTGCAATTACCAATCGAAACCATTAATTTCATATCCACCTCTTTTGTATGGTTCAGACTTTGTCACCTCATCTAAAGACAAAGCTGAATTGTTTACTAAGAACTTTTCATCAATATCATCTCTTGATTCCACTAGTTGCGTTCTACCTGATATAGCCGTCAACCAGGTTGATCCATTGCTCGACATCCATATCACTCCAGCTATTAAAGTGATTTCCTGCTTAGACTCTTCTACAGCTTGTGGCACAGACAACATACCTGTTATATTCTTGCAGAAGTGTTCTCCGGAGCTGTCGTCTATCCTTTCAAAACTATTCAACAAGTGCTTATCAGAGTCTTGTTTTCCAGCCTGCTGGAAAGCAGCATCTGTTATCCATATTTTTAAAAATTCTGGAGAGCAATCTGATTCGTCGAACTACCATCCCATTAGTCTTCTTCCTATCATAAGCAAGTTTTTTGAACCTTTAATTAACAAACACTTAATCTCTCATCTTGAATCTAATACTTACTTTCTGATCATCAATATGGATTTCGATCTTCTCATTCTACGGCTGATTTGCTAACAGTCATAACCGATAGGTTTTATTGCGCATTAGATTATGGTGGAGAGGTTAAAGCCATCGCTCTTGACATTTCTAAAGCGTTTGATAAAGTTTGGCATGCTGGTCTTCTCCATAAGTTTTCTTTTTATGGTGTATCTGGAAACATCTTTAAGATTATTGAATCCTTCCTTTCCAATCGTAGTATAAATGTTGTCCTTGATGGACAGCACTCTTCTTCTTATTCTGTAACCTCAGGGGTTCCTCAAGATTTAATCCTTGACCCTATACTTTTTTTAATTTACATTAACGATCTTCCAGATATTTTCACATCTAAGGTGGCATTGTTCGCTGATGATACTACCATTTATTCTTGTCACGATAAAAAGCCAAATCTCTCTGATTACTTGCAGGGGGCATTTGAGCTTGAAAAGGATCTTACTTCTGCTACAGCATTAATTTAATTCAGATAAAACTCAATTTTTTTCAACCAGTCATTTTCGCAATAATTTAGATCTTGAACGGTAATGTACTTGATGAGTCATCTACCCTTCATCTTCTAGGATAAACTCTTACTTCTGATCTTTCTTGGAAACCATATTTCAAATCCGTTGCAAAATTAGCATCTGCTAAAGTTGCATCTCTTTATAGAGCTTGACACTTTCTTACTCTGGATTCTATTCTCTATCTCTATAAATCTTAAACTGTATAGAATACTGTTGCCATATCTGGGGCGGATCTTCTAATGATGCCCTTTCTCTTTTAGACAAGGTACAAAAACGCATTGTAAACATAGTTTGACCTGCTCTTGCAGCCAACCTTCAACCTATGTCACATTGTCGTAATGTTGCTTCTCTTTCTTTTTTCTACAAATACTATAATGGGCACTGCTCTAAAGAGCTAGCGTCTCTTGTGCCATCTACTAAAATTCATTCTCGTGTTACTCGTCATTCAATTAGGTCTCATCCTTTTTCTGTTACTGTTCCTAAGTGCTCCAAAAACTCTTACTCGTCTAGTTTCTTTCCTCGAACATCAGTTCTTTGGAATTCGCTTCCTTCATCTTGCTTTCCTGACTCATATAATTTGCAATCTTTTAAGTCGTCTGTCAATCGTTATCTTGCTTTATTAAATATTGCTTGTAATGCTCAAATTAAAATTAAATCAAATTGCTTGTAAGCAGTACATTTTATTTAAATCACAGGCACATTTTATTTAAATTATCAAAGAATATTAATACCATATTTATTAATATAACATTTTTTATGATCATTTTACAAAGACGACTTTAATCTATGATTGCATCTTCAATAGGAACTATTTAGTTAATATATATAATACATAGTTATTTCTTGGGTGCAAAAAACATAAATAAGAAGAAACATAAATATAAAATGGTTATTCTTCCATGTTAAATTTTTAATAAATTAAATAAAAATTTTTTATTTATTAAACAATCATAAGTAATTTGTTACTTAATGTATGCACAACTTTAATAAAACATAGTTTTAAAGTATTTCAAATGCAATTAAAAATATAACAAAAAGTAATTTTTGCTTAGAGTTTTGAGTTTTTTAATTTCTTATTTTAGTGCTTATATATTTTCTTTTAAAAAACCAAAAGCCATTAAAAATATCAATCAAAATTTGCAGAAAGTAAAGAATGGTGGCTTTTAAAAATGATGGCTTGTAAAAATGGTGGCGAAAGTAAAAAATGGTGGCAAAAGTTAAAAATGGTGGCTCGTAAAAATGGTAAAATATTCAAATTTTATGTCTTTCAATAAAATTTATAACATATTAGTTTCCATTATTAGCCTTTTTATTTTACCAAGCAGATAAATACATAAAGTATGTTAAAGTTGTTTTGATTATAAGTGTTAAAAAGTAAATGCTACAACAGTCATGATGCTTCAATTTGACCTGATACTTTCTGAACGACCTGAATGCTTCAATTTTTGAAGTTAAAAGAAAGATTTGTGAACATTGTCTTGAAAGTCAATACTTTTCTTCTATTATTGATTTGATTTTCAGAAGTTAAAAGTCAAATGTGCAACCCTCACTACTTTGGAATTGCCAATCTTTATTATAGTAATATAGTGTATTAGTACATTTTTCAATGTCTTATTTAATCTGTTCCTATAACTTTATGGAGGGTAAAGTCTTATGTGGTTAAACAATTATTAAGCAAAACTTTAATTTGTTTAAAAAGAGTAAAACAAACTTGTTTAAAAAATGGCTACATTAAATAATTGTTAAAAAAAATGTTATGAATGAAGTTTTAATTATTTTAGATGTTTATATGGGAAACAAGATAAAAAACAATATATATATATATATATATATATATATATATATATATATATATATATATATATATATATAATAAAAATAAAAGTTTTTTAAAAATGTACCTCAGTTGTATTTGTAATTTCGTAATTAAAACTTTCTTTTAACCATGCTATAGTAGGAAAAGGCAATTCTTTAACTTCATATCTGGCACCAATAACCTGTAAAGACTTTAAAACATCTGCTCCATTAGGTTCCTGAAGGATTAGAGATCCAATAACTACTAACATGCGCTAAGATAAAAAGTGAAAAATTTACAATACACTTTGCATATAAGTGCGCAATTAAAAAGCGATTTATATCACAGCTACATTTTATGTAGTCATTTAAAACACATGATGGTAGCTACCAAGTGTTAAAGACCAATAAATAAAAACCAATGTTTTATTTTTATTATTTTATAAGTAATACTTTATCAATTTATATAAAGTTGTATCAAATTGACCATACACCGGTCTAAAAATAACATTTCTAAAAATAAGAACTAGAAACCAGTTAAACATATTAAAGTCAATACAAATAATTTACCTTTACACAACGTTATAAGAAGTAGAATGTAAATTACCTGATGTACAGATTACTGTAATTTTATAGGTTATATGTGCATTTTGATTAGTGTACTGTTTGCAATGAATAGACCATTATTCAACATAAGAATTTTTTGCATATCAACCATGTCCTTCTAGAAATACGGGCCTTGACAACGCGCCAAAATTTTTATTGACTGGAGGCCAAGCAAAGCGCTAATAAGTAAAGTGGATGCAGACAAGGAGAGAAAAAAACTATAATAATAACAATATATAGCTGTCTTAAAAGTAAAACTACAATACAGTTAATAAACCATATATAAATATATAATAATATCTAATATAAACTATATATAAATATACTTCTTATATAAGATAAAATTTAAATAAAGACTCATTTTTATAACAGTTTTAAAAATTTTTGTCTGGACTCCTTGGAGCATCTTGGAGATTTTATTATAGCTAGATTTTTTAGAAATATATTTTCTAAAGTGTGACAATGTTGGTTATAAATACCAAATTGAAACTTGTTTGATATGGATAAGAGTTGCTTTATTAAAATTGTTTGACAAAATTCATCAGATAACTGCTCAAACAAAATATGCACCATTGAACAATATTGTCAAAGGGGAATAACAAGACCTCCTCTATTCAAGTCATCAATGTACACACCACATTTTTCATAATAAAATTGTGTATCAGCATAATCATAGCCATTTTTTCTTTGAACATAACCAGCAATTTTTATTGGGTAACAATATGCTTCATTCAGTAATCAAAAAACTAGCAACATTATTTTTTCTTCTGGATATTGAGGTGCTCTTAAAAGATTTATTTTCACAGAGCACCACTTTTTAGATTGTTATCAAATGAACAACACCGACGGCGTTCATTTGATAACAACCTTAAAAGTGATTTACGAGTAGAGCGCATAAGAGACGCGTCTCTAATACACCAAAACATAATTTAACAAAAAGAGATATTCAAAAGCCGAAATAAAATTGAAAGTTCTGCTTGTTATTCTCAAGATCTGGCAAGTTATCAAAAACATTTTAACTTCGAAAAACATTGCACTCACATTTTAACTTCGAAAACAGTTTTTACAGAAATGACAATTGGTACAATCATCAAAACTATCCATTTTTAACTGTAAAGAAATTTTTGCATGTTCGATTCTAACTTTTTTTATGACAGATTGAGCAGTAACAAAATAGGTTACTCCAGAACCTTGACAAACTTGATAAAAGGTTTCTCATTTCCACAATCCAAAAGATATCTTGCAATGTTGACTAACCCCCTACACACATGAGAAATACATTCAGAGGTATCTTTTGTAAGCTGTTTAATACGTTTTGCGCCTGACTTTTTCATTCTTTCAACCATATCTGCCACATCTAATAAGAATAGCAGACTTTAGCCTGTGTGTGATCTTATAACTGCACAGTACTCATCTTTATAACAAATATCTGCTCCAACACCTTTCACATTACAAATTTTCCAGAACTTCAGAAATATAGAAATAAATTTGATGGTGCCAATAATTTCTCTTCTTTAATGGATGGATAATTTTTAAGTGCAGCAACAGTTTCATCACAGAAAACTCGTAAACAAGTGTCAACTTTTTTGTCGCTTAATCGGTTTTGGAGAGATGGAAATTTTATTTAATTTGCTAAGATTGGCAGATTCCAACCCATAAAGATTTACTAAACCTCTCCATTTTACTACATGTTTGTTACTTTCAAACACAAAAACTAATACTTCGCTTTTTTCAGTTAACCAATTATTACGAACACGCTTTATGACGTGAACATAATCAAAAATAATTAAAAGCAATAAAAATTTATGCTGTGTATTTTCAATACTCATCATAACATTTGTTTAAAATTCCAGACTATCTTGTGATCCTACTTTTGAAGTGATTTTTTCAAAGTGCTTGGTAAATTTTGGTAAAAAAAAATACTTCGTAATTTATAGTCATTAGAAATGTGGCTGTACAAAGACCTGGATATAGCAAAATATTCAAGTAATTACATTAGGAGACTAAGTAAATTCACCAACTTTCTTTTGAGACACACAGTCCATATGTTCAAACAATACTTTTTTTTATGGCAAATATCTTTCTTTTTTAAGTAACACGATTTCATCAAAAACTGACCAATACTTACAACATGATGATGTCTTACTTGAAATTAAAATGTGAATACTGAAAGATGACCTAAGATGAAACGAAGTTAATGTTAAATCCCAATTAATGATAACTAAAAACTTTGGAATACCACATTCTAATTCTTTTGACTGAATGTAAACAACATAATTATTATCACTTATGTTGTATACAATAAGATCATTACTATGCAAGTGCCTCTCTTTTATGCTATCAAATCGAAACAAATCATCTTTTCTAATGCTATCTAGTTCATCTGATGTTGTATTTCTTATACTGGACAATGACAATTTTGTTGTTCTGGGTTTAGAAGGTAAACTTTATCCACTTTTCTTTTTCTTATTTATCACAAGGAAATCGATAAACAAACACCTTTATAGTAGATGACGCATAAACACTATTACAGCATGGAACACAATGTTTTCGAGACATAATTGATAACTTTTTGTTACATAAATATGTTGTACTTTACAAAAAGACTAACCATAAACTGACATTTTTTTAGTTGCTGATTAAATAACGCTATACAGTTGCTTAAAATTTGTGTTAAGACCAATCATTGTTGAGTAAAACCATCTCAAAACAAAAATATTTCATACCATGTAAATCTATCCATATAGAATCGGCCTCCAGTCAAAAGATATTTTATCGTGATGTCAAGGCCTGTATTTCTAAAAAGCCATGATATCAACTATTTACTTACTAAAACAAAGTATTATTTTCAAAATTAACAATTTATTATATATGATATATTAAGATAAAAGGTAAACTTTGTGTCAACTCTTATGTGAGTTTTTTTAAATGTTTTTTTTATGTTTCTATTTTTTCTGGTTCATATAAGCATAATTAGAAGACTTTCTAAGTCAAAAAATTATAAAAAAACACAGGGTGTTTGGATTTCTTATAGCAAAATAAATAAATAAATATATAAAAAATATCAGTAACTTCTACAGCAATAAAAAAAAAAGTAACTTATTCAATTTAAATCACTAAAGTCAATAAATAATAAATTAAATTTTATTCATACTATTCTAAATTTTTTGTGTTTTTATAATCAAAAGAAAAAGAACTGGTTTAATATTGTTTAGTTTCTTCAAAAATGAGATAATGGTTGAATCCTAATAAGCTAAAAGTACTAAGATTTGAATTTAAAACTTGAGAAAAAAAGATGTACAAACTTTTGGGAAACAAGTTGATGTTGATTTGTTTCAAGATATTCAGAACTTGTTCTAAGAAAACCAGAGGTAACATGATCAAATGTCAGCATTCAATAAATGTAATGATTTCTTTTATAATTATCTGAGCAGTCTAACTAAATCTAAATCAGTCTAACTAAATCCTTTAATTCATTTTAAGTTTTAGTAAAATTTAATTAAAAATTGATTGCCTAAAAAATGATTTGATCATTTGGTTTTTAATTTTTTTATTTTAGCCAATCAATGTTGATCGACAACTATTGGATAATTCAAGCGCTGATACATAAACAGAACATGTTTTAGAAGAAACAAGTGTCTTCGCCAGAACATTAAGAGAAAAGTGTCTGCCCAAAATGGTAACTTGGTAACTCATCCAGATTTACAGCTTGAACCTGAATGGGCAAGTTATCAATTGAGGAGTGGTTGAATAGACCCTTTAAATGTTATGAAATTGATAGTTTGTCACAATCTATGAACAGACAACTATTGAAAGGCTTAGGCAAAAGCATCAATATCAATTAACATCATTAATGATTTTTCAGAATCTGGCAATTCATTTCATCCAGATTGACGGAAGGATGAAAATCTTATTTCATCCAAACAGACCCAATCCTGAGGCACTCAACATCAATCAGTAAAAAGTAGAACCTGTAGTGTTCAAAATCAATCCAGCTTTATTAGAAATAATAAGAAAAGGTAAAATTAACAAAAATGCAAGCATTTCCTTGGAAATATAACTGATATTTCATTTAAAGAGGTTCTCTGAAAAAAACAACTTCATTGAACATTAAACAAAAGTAACCTTTTTAAAAAACAGAAAAATTATTAAAGCAAACAGAAAACAAAAAAAATCTAAAAATTTAATTCTTAAGTTTTAATCACTTAACGTTTTATAATAAGTTTTAAAACTTCTTAACATTTCATAATGAAGCTAACCTGCAATGTCAAGACAATGAACTTTAGTACTGTTGCAGACAGTGTACCAGCTAGGTACATAAAGCATGCATTAATACAGATAATGTAAACCAATATTTGCAATTATTAAAATTTGACTTTACCTGATTGAGACTTGATTAAATTTGTAATAATTATAAAAACTTATTTTATTTTTGTATTTCATAGTTTATTTTCTATTTATCACCTTACAATGAATAGATTAAATCAAATAATGGTTTTAAGTTTTATTAAAAAATTTTTTTCAAGGATACTATGATTTAACATTAGAACATCAATACTTAGTGCTGTGAATAAGTATATTCATAACATCAAATAAATTTACTGCTGGTCCATTCAGTACAAATTTGGCCCATTTAGTACTATATAACTGTACTAAATGGACCATGACACATTTTTAAATCTTTTTTTTGCTCAATCTATTCCAGCGTTCAATATCAATCTTGCTTTTTAAAATGTCTTTTTTTATTTATTTACAATATGGGACGCTTGTGATAAATAAAAAATCTAAATGCATAAGTATAATATGATTTGTGACATCATTAATTTTTTTTTTAACTAACTTTTTTAACCTATTGTAATTTACTAAATTCAAAAAAAAACTATTTTAATTAAAAATTAACTCTAAGAACTTAAAAAAATATTATGTACCAATGTTATGTACTAATGTTATGTACCAATGTTATGTACTAATGTTATGTACCAATGTTATGTACCAATGTTATGTACCAATGTTATGTTCCAATGTTATGGAATGTTTGATTTGCTTCCAGTTCTTTTAAATATATCAATCAATAAAGTTTGTGCAATTTTTATTGTCTACTTCTATGTTAAGTAAGCAGGATGTAGCAGTTTTGTGTATTGGTTAAAGGGTAGTTTTGTGTATTGGTTAAATTTAAAGGAGTATCATTCAGTCCATTGAAATTTACAGTAGAGTATATGTAATAAATCGTGCTTGATTACTTTTTTATTTTTGTTTTAGGTGCCCCAAGAAGACCTAACATTCTTGTCACAGATCATTGTGTCACAGAGTGCTGCAGATGAGCATTTAACTAGGAAGTTCACATCAACTTCCTTACCAGTGGCGCAAAATATGCCCAGAGCTCACTTTAAACTCTGGATCTCTAGCTTTAAAAGAAGTGCTCTAACCATTGCACCACGACCGCTTAAACTTATTTTATGAATACAAACGTAGTTTGTTGCAGAAACTTGTTACAAGATATCCCCTGCTTTTGGGGAAAGTACTGTAGCTGAAAGGAAGTTGTTTATAAAATTTTTGTTATGTGATGAAAAATGGACTATGCACTGTAACAATAAGCGTTTATTTCATCAACTATCCAGTAATGACCATTACCCTTGACTGCTAAACCAAAAAATAATCAACAATTTTGTGGTGTCTTTGAGCTTCCGCCAAGTGGACAAACCATTACTGTTGAATTCTACTCAGCATAGCTGCAACACACCACATTATAAACAAACATGTCTCAAGATCTTTGATCTCCAATAAATTCCAATAAGTACTTATTTTTTTAATTACGTTTCAACCTTAACTTAAGAATCATATATGATCCAAAAGATTTCACACAGTTTAATTTCATATAATAAGATCCAATAATGTATTTTCAAAGCTATATTTAACTTGAAGTTAACATTAAAACTAAATTATATATATATATATATATATATATATATATATATATATATATATATATATATATATATATATATATATATATATATATATACACACACATATATATATATACCTCAACAGCTTCTTCTTTTTTCTCAATTCTTTTGTTTAATGAATCAAGCTAAAAAAAAAGACTTAATTTAATTTCTATAAATGCAAACAAAAAAAAACAATTATAAAACTTATTTTTTTATCAAAAGAAAAGCAAAAAAATCTTCTTCACCTTGAGTTTAAAAAAACAATACCTTTTTAGATGCTCTTAGCCTTTCTTTCTCAAGTTCTTTTTGAATTTTTAGTTCTTCTTTTTTTTTTTGACCTTCAGCTTTTTCTTTTGCTTTTAATTCTTTCATTACCTTTATATATAGTATGTTTGATTATATACAAATATAAATGTGTTAAGAAACAGCTCTTAACAACTCTTTGTCTTTAAAATTATATAATCAAGGACACCTAATGTAAAAACTACTAAATCTAATTGAGGAACTAATTAAATTTTAGTTTTTAAAAAACCACAAAAACGCAAAATAATAGACTGGAATGTTTTTAATAGAAATAAAAACATTTTGAATTTTTTTTATTTTTATTAAAAATTGCTAGATTGCCTGCCAAAACCAAAACCCTAAGTCAATGTAGCAGCATTCTTTGCATGTTTTTACCAATTATACAGTCAATCTAGCAGGAATCCTTATATGTTCTAAAACCAAGCCTTCCCAGGAAAGGCGTGCGGTTTTTCATCTTGTATGACCACACGTGATTATAATATTTTAGAAAACATGAACACGGCCGCTTGCAAGTTTTATAATAATTCTGAAAAAGTTTCAAAAACAAAAAAACAAAACTAACAAAATAGAAAGAGACTGAAATAGAAAAAAAAAAAAAACAATTTAATAATTTAAATAATTTGTGTACTGTTTTTATTTTTGTTTCTTTAGAGTTACATTCAGCAACAAAATTAGATAAAGCGAAGCAAAAAAAAAAAAAACAGTTTGAAGTCTACAATAAAAAGAATGATTTTCCTTTTTTTAATTTTTTTTTAAAAGGATAGCAAAAATACAAATTGCAATGTGTTTGTAAAATTTATTTGTATAATTTTAATGTAACAACAAGGGTTGAATTAAGCGAATGCAAAATGCAAAATCTGGAAAAAATTACAAAACCGTGTTCCTTGTTTTTAAGGGGAGAATCAACTTAAATTTGTTAGCAAAAAAATAAAAAATAAAACAATAAACTTACGATTTCAAAAGTAACAACACTCTAGTCACTAACTGCATTACAAAAGTAATAACACTATAATAGTGTTATTACTTTTATAACGCACTTATAACTTTTAAAATTCATTCTTTGTTCAAGCAACATTAGTATTCCCAAATTTTAATTGAAGTAGAAAAATATCTAGAAGAATAAAGTGGATGTTCAAATAATATTAAAACTAAAGTAACTTATAAAAACGTGACAAACAACTATATTAAAATGTATCGTATTAAAAGTTTAGCATTATGAAAAATGTTACTAATGAACCGTAAAAACGCGCGCTAATTTTAAAATTAACCAATAAAAATTTTTTATTGGTTTATTTTAAAATTAACGCGCATTTTTATGTAACGTTTTTCATAATGCTATACTTTTTATAAAGTACTATTTTATAACGTTGTTTAAGTGATATGTGAAAGTTCCTGAAATTTTTAATAATATTTGAATACCCGCTTTTTTTTTTCTAGATGCTTTTCTACTTTAATAAATGTTTGGAATTAATGTTGTTTGAACAAAGAATGAAATTTAAAAGTAATAAGTGCTTTATAAATGTAATAACACTATTATAGTTTTATTACTTTTATAATGCAGTTAGTGACTAAAGTGTTATTACTTTTGCAGTCGTAAGTTTATTGTTTTTGTTTTGTTTTTTGTAACTTTCTCGCTAGCAAACTTTTAATCATTTGCTCCGAATAAACAAAGTACACTGCTTTGCATGAACTAAAATTTTAAAGACCTAATATTTTACCAGAGTTTGCAAATCGCGATCATATAATTTAACTCTTGATATAAACTTTTACATTATAATTATACAAATATATTTTACAAACAGATGACAATACATATTTTCTCTTTCCTCTTTAAAAGAAAAAACACATAAAATATGGGAAAGTCATCCTTTTTAACGCCTGAAACCGTTTTTTTTTTTTTTTTTTTTTTTTTTTTTTGCTTTGACTTAATGAATTTTGTTGCCGATAATAAAAACCACTATGAAAAAACAAAAATAAAAACAACACACAAATTATTTAAACTATTATTATTGTTTTCTATTTAAGTTTACTTTAATTTCTTATGTAGTTATTAAATTTAAAATTTTTTTTCAGTAACGCATATAATATAACTTGCGCAAACGGTCGTGATCACGTTCTCTAACTTGAAAAATGATTTCGTGGTCGTACGAGACAAAAAACTGCACGCCTTTCCTGGGAAGGCTTGTAAAACCAATAGTCAATGTAGCAGCACTCCTGGCATGTTACACCTGTTTGTTAGTCGATGTATGTAAGCAGTAAAAAAATCTTTTAACTTGCGTTTTTGTGGCTTTTTTAAAAAACAATAAAAATCTAATTTTTTTAATTAAAAGTTTTTATCTTCTTTAAACAGAAAGAGAGTGAGAGAGTGAGAGAGAGAGAGAGAGAGGAAGTGCAGTATATTTGAAATCTGCAAGTAATTTGAAATACAGAACTATATGAAATATAAACATTTGTGATGAAACCATAATCTGTAGCATCATGTGAACCTATGACACCATCCTATGACAAATGATAAAATACAATGATAGTAGACTGTTTGTTGCAAGCGAAGTGCTAGTATGAAATAATCATTTTGAATCGATGTCTATTAATTATAAGATGAAAATCAAAAAGTATTTTTTGATTTTGATGAGATTTTGAGGTTCCTCTTTGGATTCTAAATTCTTGACAGATCCTAATATTTTTTAATTTTTTTGTTTCTAAACCATATCAACCTTGGACTCAAAAAAATCAGAAAAAAATGCTTGTTTTATCAACAATAATTTTATTAAAAAAAAAAAAAAAATTTAAGTGAAAAAAATAATTGCAAAAATTTACCTTAAAACTTTTGATGGACGGGGGTTTATTTATGAAAAAATTAACACTGTTTTTTTTTTCTAAGGTGTGAATTAGAACAAATATTATTTTCAAAATCAGCATATTATTCTGCTTCTTTTGAGTACCAGGTTGATAAAGTTTAGAAGAAAAAAATTTCAACAATATTAGGATCCGCCATAAATTAAGAATCCAAAGAGGAACCTCAAAAACTCATCTAAATTAAAAAAAAAAAAAAGACATTGATTCGCAGCTCAGGCAAATTAAATTTTGAAAAATTTTAAAATCGCTCCACCCTACTCTGCACCATTAACCTGAAGGTATGTAAATTATGCCACATTTAAACTATTACGTAAATTTATAGTTTATGATATTGTACTTATTTTTTACATAGTTCAAGAAAAAACACTTTATTTGAAATTTAAGGTTAGGTTCACATGTTGCTAAATTGAAGTACAATCAGTGAATATAATTTGGAATAGTCCAAATTATATTCATGAAACTCATTCCATTTATTTTTCTTTTAGATATCTCTCTGGTTCTTAAATAGATATTAACTTTAAATTTTCATTTTTTTTATTTTCAAACAATATTTTAAATTTATATTTTTATCAGCAGTCTGATACTATACTAAAATAGAGAGCTGCCCGGGGTTTTCAGTACATACACATCAACTGATGAAATATAGAGATGATGCAAAGGAGTCATAAAGTTTATACCTGGCGCTCTTCAGCAGTGAGTTTCTTTCGTTTCACAACTTTGTTTACAGAAACATAAAAATTTTTGTCTACTTTATTAGTATTGTTACTAAGTGATTCATAAATCTCATTGTGATGTCGATCATGTGAACTGTAATTTACACTTGTATTGCCATTAATTTGGACTAATAATGAATCTGCCAAAGTGTTTTGCTTTGAACTTTGAACTTTTGTAAAAGCTAAAAAATTATTGAGAATAAAATTATAACTTTTTTTTTAATTTATAACATTTAAAATAAATTTTAACCTTTTTATTTTTCTCAAATAAAAATGATATTTTAGTAATATTTTATACAAAATCAAGTCTAACTTTCAAAAATATTTATAACTCAAAAATATAATATTCAAAAATAAATCATTAAAGGAATCAATACAAAGAAAACAAAACAAAATTAATTAATAGATATCAAGATTCAGTACCTCATGTCTATTCAATTTAAATATTAAGAGATAACAATCAGGATTGAAAAAAAACATTTTTTCTGAAAAAAATAACAAAAAAAAAATTGTTTTTTTTTTAAATAACCAAAAAAAACCATGTTTTTTTCGTTAAAAAACCATGTGTTTTTTTTTGTTAAAACTCCCTTTTTTTAAAATAAGTTGTGTTTATTCAAATCTTTCAATTAAAAAATAGCATTAGGCGTTTCAGTTGAGTAAAAAACCTATTTTCTATCATTATTACTGATATAATTCTCCAATTAATACATCATTGTTCAATGTTCTGCATATAAAAACAAGCTTTGCTTCTTTTACTACTCTTATCTTGTTTTATTTCAACTCACCTCCCCCAAGGTCATGAAGGCCACTGCAGTCGAGGAGGCTACTTTAGTTGTGATTACAACCCTCTCTCAACTCTATAACAACAAAACATGAACCTTGACAAAGCTGCTGCGCTGAGAAACAAATTGAGCGCAGCAGCCTTGTTTGTCAAGTGTTCATCAGTTGTTTTTGATTTAGGAATAGTATTTGTTTTTTTAGCCAAAAAAAGGCAGAAAAACAGGCATTTAAAAAAATATACCTATATATTTTAATCTAAAACTCAAAAACTAAGGGTCGCATTGCATTTCGGACTTAATTTCAAATCGATGGTCCACAGCAGTCCAGAAAAAACTTGACATGGTTTTACAACAAACTATTCGTGTTTCGTATTTAAAAAGTTGAGAGAGGGTTGTAACCACATTTAAAAAGTAGCTTCTTTGACTGTAGTGGTCCCCTCACCTTAGCGAGGTAAATAATATTTAAACAAAAAAATTATTTAAACAAATTAATTGAATAACATTAATATAAAATTATCTATAAAAACGGTTTTGGCTAATATAAACATTTGCAAAATGTTCATATTAGCCAAATATGCAAAACATAAAAATTATAAAAAAATAAATTAAAGCAAAAAGTCAAATTATAATTATGTAAAAAAACATTCACACAAAAATAAACACAAAAATTAAAAAAAATTAACACAGAAACATTAAAGAATTTTAAATTTAATAAACCCTAAAAAAAAATTATATTTGCAATGAAGAAGAAAATCTCAAAAAAGAATATTTAAAATTGATTGTTAATTCATTTTTAATACGACCTCACAATTTATGCGCCTAATTTGATAATTTATGCGCTTAATTTAAGCCATCTAAATTTAATTTAAAGAAATTATTCTACAATTATAAAATACAAAAAATAAAATTCTACAAAACATACAATATAAGAATTTGTATCAATACTTTACTACCAGGTTGCTGTTGCTTATGGTCATAAGAAAAACCATTTTCGTTCATACTGTCCAGCTAACAAAGCTACAGAGTATTTAAGCCATTAAAAGAAATTGGTAATTAGTTGTCTAAGAAAAAAACATAATACAACATATAAGTATTACTTATTTTGAGGAGAGATAACATGATTTTAAGATAAAAAAAATATTTTTATTTGATTCAGAGCAATAAGTAGAAACAATGAGTAGAAATATTAAGTAGAATTAATTAAAAAGTACTTAATTTTAGAACTATTAAAAACAAAATGAAAAACAAAATATTTTGAAATAAAATTTTTTATCAGCCATTAAATTTACAAACAATTATCAATCAAAACAAACAAAACTAACAAAAAAAAATCTAATTTTTTATTCAAAATTATTTGATTAAAAAATGTCTATATTCTCATATTAAATAATTGAAGTTTAAAAAAACCTTTTAAAATAATAAAATTTAATACTCTAAAAAATCAGATGGCAATTTTGATAGCAAATAAATACAAATGAAACAACGGATTTATACTATCTTCTTCTTTTTGATGCATTTGGAGTAACAGGAGATGACGGCTGGGAACTTCCAGATAACTGTGCTTGTCTTGCATTTCTCTTTCGTTTAGGAGAATTTAAGCTGTCAGGAGTTGAAAGCAATGGATTGTTTTTAATATTAGCTAAATTTAAATTTGTAGGGCGTGATGGAGCTGAGGAATCATCAGTAGATGCAAAAGATGTTGCAGGAGAAGATGGTGCAGACATCATTAACTCTGGATTTGTCATTTCTTCAGGTAGCATAAAATCTCGAGTTGCATTGTTGAAAGGAAGGTCATCAAGTTCATTAAGAGTTTCAAGATTATACATCTCATGTAAATGGTCCCAAACATCTTTCGAAGAAATATCTTTTGAATCAGAGTTCAATACTAGCTTTTGATGAATGCAAGCCATGTGAAAAAATCTATTAATACCTGTCGGCTTATGGCCTCTTAAAGCATGAAACAAATTTACTTCTAATTCTGGTGTCCACATGGTAACAATAAATATACTAAATCTAAAAAAAAAGTAATTTATATAATTAAAATAACAAAATGAAAAAATTAACATCATGTTTTAACAGAAAACAATTCATTTTCTAATGTGGTTGATTTCTAATATGAACCACTATTTAACTAAGACATGTTTTAATTATTATTTTAAGATAGTGGGAAAATAAACTAGAAAAAAAAAGTGGAGATTTACCTAATACCCAAATGTAAAGTTGTCAAGGGGACCTAACAAGCGAATCATTTAGAATCCTCAAATATCACATATCCATATATAATTGTCACAAGGACCTTACAAAAAATTCAGTACTAGGGTCCTGCAAATTACCATTTTTAATTTTGATTATAATTCTAAATTGAATCAGTATTTGATTTACATTATTTAGCTTGACTTAATATAAGTTTTAATCATCATTTATATATTTATTGTTTATATATTTGTCATGTTAATAAAATTAAATTCTTGATAAATTAATTTTTGACCTTTTTTCCTTTATTTACCTATATTTATATAGGATAAGGTTATCAGTATAAATAAATGGTTATCAGTATAAATAAAAGGTTATCAGTATAAATAAAAGGTTATCAGTATAAATAAATGGTTATCAGTATAAATAAATGGTTATCAGTATAAATAAAAGGTTATCAGTATAAATAAATGGTTATCAGTATAAATAAAAGGTTATCAGTATAAATAAAAGGTTATCAGTATAAATAAAAGGTTATCAGTATAAATAAATGGTTATCAGTATAAATAAAAGGTTATCAGTATAAATAAAAGGTTATCAGTATAAATAAAAGGTTATCAGTATAAATAAAAGGTTATCAGTATAAATAAAAGGTTATCAGTATAAATAAATGGTTATCAGTATAAATAAAAGGTTATCAGTATAAATAAAAGGTTATCAGTATAAATAAAAGGTTATCAGTATAAATAAATGGTTATCAGTATAAATAAAAGGTTATCAGTATAAATAAAAAGTTATCAGTATAAATAAAAGGTTATCAGTATAAATAAATGGTTATCAGTATAAATAAAAGGTTATCAGTATAAATAAAAGGTTATCAGTATAAATAAAAGGTTATCAGTATAAATAAAAGGTTATCAGTATAAATAAAAGGTTATCAGTATAAATAAAATGTTATCAGTATAAATAAAAGGTTATCAGTATAAATAAATGGTTATCAGTATAAATAAAAGGTTATCAGTATAAATAAAAGGTTATCAGTATAAATAAATGGTTATCAGTATAAATAAAAGCTTATCAGTATAAATAAAAGGTTATCAGTATAAATAAAAGGTTATCAGTATAAATAAAAGGTTATCAGTATAAATAAAAGGTTATCAGTATAAATAAATGGATAAGGTTATCAGTATAAAACTACTTTTCACAAATGATCTGCTATAAATAAAACCAATAAAACATAACAAATTTAGTAAAACAGATAAAAACAATAAGCAAAAACTATTTTTTTAAACTTATAATAAAATAAAAACATCATTTATTATATTTGAATTTATCAAAGTATGAAAGACAATTATTTTATAAAGTCTTATGGCTATATTTTTATTTGAAATTGTTTGAACCATTTATGACTAACATTTTCGTCAACTTAATAAAAACTTCAGCTCCCGTCTAGTAAAAATTATTTTGAACATATTTAATTTGACTTTTTTTAACTTAAGATTATTATAATTATTTTGTTCTACACCTTTTGTTCATCATTAAACATATTGATCTGATATATTTTTTTCATCAAATTTGCATTTGATGATGTTGTTCTGGTGTATGTTCTGATGCATTCAATGATGGTGATGTTGTAAATTCTGCTATTTAATGATTCAAACTTTTGAATTTGAGTTCTAGTAAGACTGAACACTTTTTTTAAGTATATAATGTTCAAATAACATGCTGCATTTTGTTTATTATGCTTTGTTTTATTAATACATTGCAGTAATTTTATTAAAGCAAAAAATATGTTAAATAAATTAAGATCAGGATCATCAGGAGTATCATGATCACCTTGCTACTTAGAGAATGTAATCCAGTACATCCAGCCATGTCTTTTTGATTTGCAGAACTAGAAGAAATTAACTTCGATCTAAAATACTCTCCAGGGCTATTGGTTGAGTAAAGGGTGGAGATGATGCCTCAAAAAAATACTCATCATGGGCAGATGTTAACTGCATCCAGCTACTGTAATCAATTTGTGAATGCTTAGAAAAGGCAGCTGATCATAAATGTAATTTCTCTTTTATGACATTTTAAGGATTGCAGTGACTGGTGAGTTTTAACTTTTGCATTCAGTTATTTACTGCTAATAATTATCAAAAGCTGAAAATATAACTGATAGTCCTATGATGATGATGACCAATACTCAGTACAAAATAAACTACTAAGTAAAACACTCAGTGACTCTACTTAACACCTTTTTAGATTATTGACCTCTCATATAAACTATATATCCAATCCATTGCAAAATTTGCATATGCTATGGTTGTGTCTCGTAATGGTGCTTGTTAGTTTCTTATTGATTCCATAATCAGCTTCAACAAATTTCTTATCCAACTTTGAAGGTGGATAAAAAAGTCCAAAAATATATTGCAATCTCAAGATTTAAATTTAAGCCCAACCTAAATAGTGTTGCTTTTTTTCTGTTGTAGTTCTACTAGTGATCACTTTCATACTTGTTGGGAAAAAATGCATAAAAAAAAGTCTATGACCTTGTGCTTGTTTTTTTTTTAGAGATATATAAACTTTTATGATTTTTAATTTGATAGAAGTAGTTGAGGTGTCATTTCATATTTTTTCTTAAGTAACTTGCTACAAAAGAATATATTTCTATAGCTCTCTAATAAACATATTTATTTATACACAATACAAAACTATGCCCGAAACAGACAAAAAAATCACCAGACAATAAAACAGAAAAACAGACCAAAAGATCACAGCCTCTAATTTTCAGATTAAATCAAAACAATTTGCAGGACCAAGCACGTTATTTTATAAGCACGTTACGACAATTTGCATCTATATTCAATAACATTCTTAGAAAAGAAATATAAAACAATAATTATGACTTTTTATTTTGTTTTAATTTTTTTTTAACAATTGATTTATTTAAAAAATATCTTTTACTATCTTTACTAAATGATAAAAAGGTAAAAGTAAAAACAATAAAAAAATGTATCTATAAATAAAGTCTCCAACACAATCACAGGTTTCTTCATGTTTAAGTAATACAAAATATTAGTCAATTTCTACAACAGCTCCAACAGCTTCTAGTTGAGCTTTCATTTTTTCAGCATCAGCCTTTGATAATTTTTCCTTCACAAGTTGTGGAACTCCTTCAACATATTTTTTTGCCTGGAACAAATATTAAAGAACTACAATTATTAAAACATTATATAAAAACAATTAAATTAATTTATATTTTTATTCAAAATTTTCTTTAAAGTAAATCAAAAATCAAAAAAAATTGCACCAAAATAAATGATTTTAGGTTTATCTTAAACATTCAACACTTATTAAATCATATATTTTATATATAAAAAAAATTTCCATTAACACGTTTTTATCCATCAGATATTATTTTGCTCTGCTATCCTAATATAAACAAACTTTTATTTATATTTATACCATAACAAGATTCATCTCTGGAATTATATTTTTTATTTCTTTAATAAGTTTGACTTTAGATGCTTCATCAAACTTTAAAAGCTTCACAGAGAATTCAGTTTGTTCTTCCTTTGGTGGTTCACTTTCCTAAATAAATTATGTACTATGTGTGTAAATATATATATATATATATATATATATATATATATATATATATATATATATAAATATATATATATATATATGTAATATATATATATATATATATATATGTATATATATATATATATATATATATATATATATATATATATATATATATATATATATATATATATATATATATATATATATATATGTATATATATATATATATATATATATATATGTATATATATATATATATATATATATATATATATATATATATATATTATATATATATATATATATATATATATATAGGCTTCGGCAGGAATGACGAGCTATAGCCCATGTCCGTCTCCGCACCCGTCTAAGTCAGTTTAGACGGGCGAAATAAAGCCCGTCTGAAACATAAGTTTTGTGTAAAAAAAAAAATGAATATTTTGATGTTTTTTTATTAAGATACTCTTTTAAAACTTCTCTCATGACATAGTTTTAATATGGATAGCAAACTCCAACTTATAATTGTTTATATTTAAATATAAAAATTAAACAATTTAATCATTATTGTATAACATGATGTAGAAAATAATATAACTAAATCTTACAGTTTTTTAAACGACGATAACTGTTTGATATAATACCAAACAGTTACCATATCATGTTCAAAATTTAATAACTATTATATTAAATAGGGAAATATACACATGTGATGCACAAGAAGTATCATGTTGTTTTGGTTTTTCAATGTTTATAATAATAATGATAATAAACTAATTATCTATGTATTTCGCTTTTTTGCGATAAACTAGTTTGTCTTACTTTAAAGACATTTAAAGTGATATTTCCGCGTTAACTTCCGCGTTAACTTCACGTTTTTTCTTAGAGAGACGGCAGTTTATTTAATATGCAATTATATAACTCGTTATTGAAAATGAAATATCTCATTAAAAATCAACAAACGTCTAATCAATTTTTGTAGATAATATAAATAGTGTTGCTTTATAGTTATGAAGTTATTCAAGTTATCCAGTCATTCAAGTTTTTCAAGTTATTCAAGTTTTTCAGTAAAGATAGTAATAGCATCATCTGGTAGAAGAGTTACATTAGCAACATTTTTGAGTTGGGGTAATGATGGAGTCTGTGGAAAAGAAACTGAGGTGGAGAATGGAACAATTTTTGTTGTGAAGATATGGTGTATGGTTTGTATAAAATATAAAAAAGAATTGCTTCGCGAGTTCAAAGGTCTGGCAAAATCAAAGGCATTAGCATTTATAGAGGGCACTACGAACATTAAAGCTAGCAACATACATACGCTTATATACATGCTTATATTGTATATAAAGTAACGGAAGCCCCGGTATCTTAAGAAATTAATAGTACTTCTAAATAAAAACTTATTTTATTAAAAGAAATTAGATTTCAAATTTTTTATTCACGTATCAGAATAACTATTTCCGATCAGGATAGGCATAGGTAAAGCAAAGTTATAAAAATATAAATAACAGTTTAAGTTTTTAATTTGCACACCCAATAGAATGCAAGAGTATATAAATAATTAAATTTGAAAAATAACATAGTTACGTATCATATTACCAAGCTAATACCAAACAATTCTAAAACTATCGAGCTCATTGATTCAAGGTTACAAAAAAAAAAAAGATTTCAAACTATTTGCTGAATAATTAAAAAAATTAGATTTTGAAAATATTATGTAATATTTTTATTCACAAAGAATAAGAGAAACGAATGAACTAAAAAAGCACGATAAAAACCTGTATAATTTAATCGAATACTTGAATAAAACAATAATATATAAATATACTTAAAAAGACTTCGGTAAGAAAACACGTTAGGATGCTTGAATAAGGAAACGTGATGAAACGCCATGGTTGTTTCGAGGATTTTTCCCGTCGTTTTCACGTTCATTCGTTTGACTATATCTGCCAGATATTATCTGGAATAAAGATTCAAAAAAAAAAAAAAACATAAAAAACTGAATAAAGTTCCTTCGAGTAAGAAATCTAAACAAAAGCAACCATAAAACAACTAACCCACGTGAAACGAAATTAGATCTGTGCAAGTGAAAACTTTAAAAAACAATTATTGAAATCTTAGTTTTAAGTATTATCCAACTCATTTACTGCAGTGTTTTAATTACTTAAGTAATTAAGCATTTTAAACAGTTAATCGCTTTCTTACATATTATTTTAGTGCAATTCACAAAATGTTTAATATTCAATGACATTTTCATTCAAAAAGAAGAAGAGAAATTAACAAATTTAAAAAAAAAAAAAGTTCAAACTTTAGAATTTTTTTTAAAGTTTAAAAAAGCCCGTGCAAGACCATCTAGACGGGCGGCCCTCATAGCCCGCCAAGTCTATTTAAGACGGGCTTTTCATAGCCCGTACGGTTTTTATTCCTGCCGAAGCCTCTATATATATATATATATATATATATATATATATATATATTATATATACATATACATATATATACATATAGATATATATATACATATATATATATATATATATATACATATATATACATATATATATATATATATATATATATATATATATATATATATACATATAGATATATATACATATAGATATATATATACATATATATATATATACATATATATACATATATATATATATATATATATATATACATATATATATATATATATATATATATATACATATAGATATATATATACATATATATATATATATATACATATATATACATATATACATATATATATATACATATATATACATATATACATATATATATATACATATATATACATATATACATATATACATATAATATATATATATATATATATATATATATATATATATATATATATATATATATATATATATGTATATATATACATATATATACATATATGTATATATATACATATATATACATATATATATATATATATATATATATATATATATATATATATATATATATATATATATATATATATATATATATATATATATATATATATATATATATATATATATATATATATATATATATATATATATATATATATATATATATATATGTCCTGATGATTGCATTTAGCATAAAACTAATAGTTGTGAAAAATATGCAGTTTTATTTATAAATAATATATATAAATACAGCTCTGTTTTAATTTTAATTTTAATCATTTTAATTTACTTTAATTTATCGAGCACTCTCGCGAGGATATATGCAAGCACTAATACGTATACATACATACATATATATATATATATATATATATATATATATATATATATATATATATATATATATATAAACAGGGGTGTACACTTGGACTTTAAGTCAGTAGCCAGAAGGGCAACTAAAAGTAACTAGATCATTAATGTTGGTCACACACCAATATTTTGAGTTGCCCGTCTCTATTTTTTATAAAAAATTTTGCATTCAGCGGAATTCTTGCATATTCTAGTCATTTTTACTTATAGGGCTATGTACACTAGAAACAATTTGCGCAATTAAAAGTAATATTGTAAAATATGATGACATTCACTTTTCTACTTTCAGATAAAGCACATGGCAATATATATACCATTTATTTGTTTACTTGAATTAAGCACTTATTTTATAACAAAAAAAGTTGTTCTTTTTTACAACAACAAAGTATTGATAAATATAAAAAACAATTTACAAAATCTTTTTGTAATTTACTAAATTTGTTGTATTTATTATAATCTTATTTGTTACAGGTAAAAAGTAGTTTAGTGGTAGGACACTCGCTGGAAAGACAAGAAGTTCCGTGTTCAATCCCCATTATGTTCCTGGTAGTAAGGCACTCAATTTGTTTCTCCATGCAGCGACCTTGTTTGTCAAGGTTTGTGTTTTGGAGTTAGAGAGTAACCACAATAAAACAGCCTCCTCGACTGTAGTGGCCCTCACTGCCTTGGGAAGGTGAACAACATTAAAAAAAAACTGTTTAAAACTTCAACTTATATTAAAACAAGTTTATTTATTCTGTTAAATTTTTTTTATTGCTTTTAATATATATTTAAATGATTAGAGATGTTCGTATTGATATTCTTAGATATAAAATGACAACTAGAAAAAATTTATGTAAAGTCATTAATTCATTCAACCAATAAAACACTAGCTTTAGGTATTATTCAGATTGGAAAAAAGTTTATATACCAAGCCTTGACAGTATTCTTGTCAAATTATCTAAATTCATAGATGCTGCACAGAAACTTCTATTCAAAAGAAAATTGAAATAAAAACTAGAAAGTCCAAAAAAGTGCACCATGTTAAAAATAGTAATAGCATAACATCACCTACTAGATTTTATTTAGAATTTTTTTGTAAGAAATTTATATATCAACAAAATTTTCATGGGAGATGACAAAGAATCATTATCATAATTTAAAAAAAGTACTGAATTGCTTTAAACAGACATAAAAATGCAAACTTATGCCATCCAATGCACTGGTATATCAAATAGCTTATCATTTAATCAATGCTCTTCTGAAAAAAAATTCTAGAAAATATTGAAATAAACTGATAATAACTAAGTACAAACAAACCTTTAAAAGCAAAACAACATTTTGCAAGAAGAAAAGTATTGAAACTATTCATCAATTAGAATGTAATGTATATAATATTTATTGTATATAAAATTTGTATATTTAAAGGATTTTTATATCATTTTCTGTCAGTCAAGTATTTTTTTATCGTACAATGAAAACATAACAAGAATGGAATAAGGCCATGCTTAAATAAAACACATTGCTAAACAACTTAATAAAGTTTCCTTCTATACAAACTATAAATACAGTTTGAATAGTTCTACAGATATTTTAGTAATGAATACAAATATATAAATATATTTCAATTCATTACTAAAATATCTGTAGAACTATTCAAACAATGAAAAAATACTAAAAATTATTTTTTAAATATATATAGAATACCACTACTGCAGGTGTAGCAACTGGCATTCCTGTCATTGGTAACATTGGAGCATCCTGGATGTTTAACTCTTTCTATTAATTTAAAATATAAGAAAAGTATTATAAATAATAAATATATAATACAGTATAAAACATCTAAAAAACATTTGTCATTTTTTTCAACAAAATTTTTTATTTTTTTGAATATATAAAACTTAATAATTTTTATATTAAGTTCATTAAAAAAGTTGTCTTTTATAAAATTAAAATAATTTTTTTTAAATAATTTTATTTGTTACTTTATTTAAAAGCTTTTAGCTAATACAAAAATATTAGTAAAGTTTCAAACATATAATTCAAAAATTTTTTTATACAACATTATTATACACCTTATTATAAAAGCGTCAGATCATCAAAGATATTATTTGCGTGGCCATATAATAAAGTGCCTTCCTTACAAAAACAGATTTATTTTATATATGTATATATTTAGAACACTTATCCATGCTATTGTATTTTCTTTTAACAATACAAACATTTGATTAGAAATCATATTAACAATAACATTTAAAAATCTTACGTTTTGATTATAATTATTATACAAATAATTATTTTAATTGATATCAAAAATTATTCATTAGAGTAATATTCAATATAGAGTTTAAAAATGAAGTTTCTTGTAAAGAGGTTAGGCATCCAACCATTAAGTTTTTGCTTTTCATTTATTTTTTTATTTTAAAAGTTTTCTGATATCTAAGATCTACCCTAATCTATTTGCAAACAAACTACTGGATTTAACAGACAAAAAAACTGAGTGGATTTAGTAGACAAAAAAACTGAGTGGAGTAGTAGATCTAAATCTCAAGTTCTTGCTGTTATGACTAAAAACTGATCAATACATGATCGCTGATTATTTTGACATTGATTCTTATTTTGAAGTATGCCAATATTTGCAACAAGTTTTTTTAAAGATTTCATTCTTAATCAATTTAGGAACAGGTCAATTAACAAAAGGTGAATGGTTAGCAAACAACAGCAAATTGGCTAAACAAACATTTAATGATAAAGAATCTCAGTTGATATTAGTTCTCAACAATACTTAATGTTATTGTCAAAAGAGTAGTAAAAACTATTTTTAACGAAAAACATTCAGCGTACAAAAAAAAAAAAAAATTTGATCAAACCTCTTTTAGTTTCGATATCTAATAGAAAAATTGTCACTGTAATGGACTTCATAAGGCAACAAAAAATAGCGCTTTAATCATAAATGATGTACTATTAGGCAACCAAAAACTTAAAAAATATATTATTTGATAAAGGCTTTTGAAACTGTAGAGCCTTAGATAAAGTGCGCAATAAATGTTTGCCTCACACACTCACTGACTACAGAATTGCAGCAGTCCTTATTAATATATTTTTTAAGCGACATTTCTCAGACCAGGATGACAAACAAATTTTTATTAATTACATAAAAGATAAGCTTCATTTAGAGAATAAGCTGGAAAAGCTGGTCAAAAGTGAATAGTTAAAAAAAAAAAAAGAGTTTTTAAACATTGAAAACAGCACTTGTGCCTAATTTTCCTAAATTGCTTGAAGAAATAATAAAAAACCACATCACTTTCGGCTCATATCAACTTAGACAATGCTAAAGCTACATTTCTGACACAATATGAATTCGCTATATGTGAAAGTATTCAGTCAATAGAGAAATCAAAAGTTCATTCTCTTGGTATCAGATCTCGTCATTTTGGGTTTACAAAGTATAAAGTGTACATGAAATATTTACCTATACAAATGATGAAACTAGAATTGAAGGTTGGTGATGTATTTTGTAAGACTGGCATAAGAACTCAAGGTTGCTGTGCACATATTGCAAATGTAATTATATTTATAAATAAATTGTAATTATATTTATAAATTGCAAATGTAATTATATTTATAAATTTAAAAATATTTAGCATGTGGAATTAATTTAGAGATGCTTCAGAATCCACCTGGATTACTAACATTCTTTTTTAATAATAGCACTAAATCAGAAACTTCTATGTTGACACAAATTGAAACTTCGGAAGATAAAGTTTAGAGTCAAAAAAAAAATTTTTCAACTTTTTAAAAAAAACAACCTAAAATTAATTTAGTTTCTTCTGAGTAAATTGATGATCATTAGAGTGTAGAAGATAAATCTATCAAAATTACAAAGCGTTAGCAGCCTAATATGTAGGATGAAGTCAATCCAAGGAAATTAAAAATTAATAAATAAGTGAAAACTTGTGCAACAGAACTTTGCAGTTAGTGATCACTTTAAAAAAATATTTTGAAAGTTGTTTGCTTTCATCTTAAGTATAATGATATTTCTATAATTTTTTAAACAACCATTTGAAGATAAAATTTTAAAAAATTGATGACTTTGTTTTTAAACCAGTGGTTTTCCTATCAATATCTTTTTTACTTTCCTTAAAGGAAACTTATTGATATGTAGTAATTAAACATTAATTAAACCATAAATTAACCATTGTTAAAACTATAAAATACCATTTTATATTTTATATTTTAAATTATTAACATGAAAAACCATGGTTTTTCAGGTTAATAATTAATATACATAGATAATGCTAATATACATTACTTCTTGTAACATATTCCATAAAAAATATAAATACCTTCAGTAGTGCATTTAAATGTGAAACTTCTAACAAAGTGAGTTTTGAAATGGATTGGACAATGTTTACAATGTGCTCTGGATATTCTTTAACATTATTTGATGGTGATGGAAGTACACTGTAGTTATATACCGCTGATTGATGCAAGAGTTTTATATTTTTCTGAGATAAAATTCTAAAATCAAAATCAAACCTTAAAAACAAAAATTATATAACTTTAAATAAATTTTAAGGACATTTCTGTTTAAAATAATATTTAAATTATAAGCAACATATCCACCACATAACGATCTTAAATAACATCTCCATTCTATTTACAAGAGGTTTAAATCTTAACATTTGTCACAACATTTCACACAATGAAACAAGTTTGACCAATTGTATTTTATGCTTTTTAAACAAGTTTTATATTTTACTACAATTTATTTACTTACCTATTTACCATTCTTGCCAAATTTAAAACTGATTTTAACTCAATTACAGAATGTTAAAAGTTTTTTAAATAAAAAGTTTAACTAAAAAAGTTGAATATTAAATTGCAAAATTCAGGCTTTCACAGGAAGACATGCGATTTCAAGTCTTTATATGACCACGCAAGCAACATTTTGCTATGACGGTTTGACCGCGGCTAATTCAAAAAACGTTTTAGAAATGTGCTAAATAAAAAATATTCTAAAAAAGTGAAATTAATTACATCAAAACTTCTTAACAAATGTTTTTATATTAGTGAAACGATTTTTAATAAAGTAACAATTTACTGAAAAAAAGTTTTGTTTTTTAAATATAATTGACAGTTTTATATATTTTTTTAATTTAAAACATATAAATTGTTTAAGTGTTCATTTCTAAAATAAATCTTATTAAAAAATAAAAAATTGTTTTGTTTTTATAAACGATGACTTTCCACGACTACGAAAGTCTCTTTAACGAATTTAAATATAAGAATGATTAAAGTTAATGCATTTAAAAAGATAAACAAAATTTTGTTCAAAAAAAAAAGTTTTAGAAAACCGTTACAATTTAATAAGTTTGATCTTAAATGCTTTTATATTATCGAAACGCTTTTAATGGAGTAAAAAAAAAACACTTCTAATTAATTTAAAAAAAAGTATTAATAAAATATTTTTTTATTTTATTTATATAATTATGTATTTCTTATAAGAAATATTTAACTTTTGAACATATTAAATAAAAAAATATAAAAATGTTGAAACAAAGATTGAAAAGGTTTTTTAATGCGTAAATTAAATAGACTAAGCATTTTAGTTTGATGAGTTTTATTTTAGTTGCGTTATATATATATATATTTATTTTATTGTGTTTTTGCTTTAACTAAGTTTTTCTCTTTCGTTAATATTTATTTTTTTTTTAATTTTTTTTTTCAGAAAAGTTTAGGTAAGTTTTTGTAGCGCGTTTTTAAATTTTAAAAAAATGCTGTGGTCAAATTGTTAAAACATTTTTTTTTTTGCGTGGTCATATAAAGACGTGAAATTGCACGTCTTCCTGTGAAAGCCTGCAATTAAAAAAAAAATAAATAAAACAATTAAAACATATCTTTCTAATGTGCACATTTGTTGTGAGGGGGGGGGGGGGATTCCTAAAAGGGGTTTTAAAAAATAATTTTAAAAACAATTTTTTGAAAATTATTATATTACTCTAGTATTGAGATAAATAATGCATAAAAAGTTTATAGAATTTTGTTAAAAACTTAAAATTTCCTTTAAAGGAAATCTAAACCTCAGGGTGTTAGCTAGCCTGATGACACCGCGTGTAATGCGGAATTCGCAATTTTTCTAAATTTCCCAAAAGTTCAAAAAATTATTTAAAAAAAACAAACTTTAATCCTGTTATTAACAGGCTTAGCTTATTAATAGCTACTATTATAGAGGTAGATTTTTTTTTACTTAACCTATGGAAGTTTTTTAAGTTCCACACAAACTAACCATGCATTTGCTGCAGGAATTCTCCAAAATGACGAAGAACTAAAAACTATAGTTCCAGTGTAACTCGTTGGACTGCACATGATCGAGCTTGTTTAGTTGTGTTTAAAGGTTATAAAACCGGTTTTACAAGGTTTGTCAACATGCTATACTGAACGAAAAGAAGCAGAAGCACTCAAGCTATTTATACAAGCAATTTCACAATCTAACATTGTAACAATATTAATGCTCTTAAATGTGTTTGAAGCAATTTCTCCACTTGTGTTAGCACTACAAAGTTTGCAAGTAGGAATTAATCTCAGCAATATTCCAACTTATGTGAATCAAGCTAATCATAGTTTAGATAATTTAATTTCAGGTATTTGATGAAAAATTTTTATTGAAATGAAATCAGTGACAGATAAAATAACTTTTTCGTTATAGCCACGAGCTGATTTAAAAAAATAATAACTTTGACCTAAGTGAGTTTGAATTAAACATTTTTAGATCTTTTATTAACAGTTTTAAAAATTAACTAAAAAACAATTTTGTACAAATGGAAATTTGGCAACCGTTTTTGATTTTTGACCCAAGACGATTGCCTAGAACACTCAGCCAACTGTCTAATTATGGTAAAGAACGTTTAGAGTAAGTCATAACTCACTATAGCAGACCAAAAAGCAGTAACAAATCTGGAGCATTACACATTCAAGTTCCAGATATCTCAGAAACCAAGACAAAAAACAAATTTGAAAGTTTCAAAATTATGCTAAACGCCACGAATGGGAAAACAGTTTCGATATACCGATATATCGATATATCGAAAGAAAAAGATCAAGAAGTTGTAAATAATTGAATTAAGTCAAGAAACAATTTTATGTTTCAAGAGTAATGGAAAATGCAACTCTCGGAATTAGGGTCGGCATTCGGCAATGCCGACATAACTGCCAACCTGAAAGTGTTTGAGGTCGACAAAAAATTGACAACCTCGTTTCTATGTTTTATGGTCAGACCTTTGTATCAAATAATTTTTGCCGACCTCAAAAAGATTGAGATCGGCAAATTATTGTCGACCTCATTTTTCCTAATACCAAGGGTTAAAAGTGATTAATAATGACCCTCTTTTGATAAGTTTTTATGCTAATTGTATGTTTTTAACTAAGTTACTCATTATATTTCCTTTGAGTTTAGCATGTGTTGAAAGATTTTTTTTAAAATTAAAAATAGTTAAAAACTGTCTTCAAAATCAGCCAAGCCAAAGCACATTAGAAAGTTAGAAGATGATTGCAACAGAAGGTCCAAAGGAGTGTTTTGATGTTAGAGTACTTTGTTGACAAGTTAAAACGTAAAAATCAAAATATGAGAATTATGTTGTAAATTGATAAAATCTCATATTTTGATTTTTTTTTATTTGAGACTACAGACAATTGGTATATATTTAATGGTTATAATTTTTTTTTACGGAATATTCACAATGATTTCTTAGTATTCCAGCTGTGTTTTTACAATTTTTGTTTGTAGCAATTAACTGAATTTTTATTTGGGTGCAAAATAAAAGCTTTTTGTTCACACAGCAAGTGCCGAGCTTTAGAGCTAAATGGTTTTAAAAACCATTATCTTGTACAGCAAAAATTACTAGACAGCAAACCTTTTTGCATGACCACCTAGTTTTCTTATCACTTCAAAAATACTTTTCAATATTTACAGCCTTACACAGTTGTAAATAATCGTTTAAACTTTTTTGAAAAATATAATGTAATTTTTTTTTATCATAAAATAATATTTATTTTAATTATTATTATTTAAAAACGAGCTACACAATTAAAGTAGAATTATGAAAAAGCCTAAGAAGATTGGTAAGAAAGAAACAGAAGTCAAAAATTAATCTGTGTTATAATTTTGCATTTATAAAATATAAATTTGTGGTATTTAGTATTGGCAAGACAAGTTTTGCCTAGAAAATTTTGTAATGTACCACCTTTTTTTTTTTTTACTCACTAGCTGACTAACCACCACCAACTTAAATTCCCAATATTATGATAACGCTGTATAAATTTTATTCCTGGCTAACACCCTGAAACTAACTTTTTTATTTTAGTTGAGGCTTGCCTTCTCCGCTTTGTTGTAGGCCAAAAAGTCAGCATAATATATGCCATAATCTACAGACTTGATAATTTATTCAGGCGCGTTTTATTCCTAAGAGTTTCACTATATGACATCATTGATTTTTTTGTTTGCGCAAGAGATCGATTATGTAAACAAACAAAGTCAATGACATCGTGTATTAAAACTATTAGGAATAAAACGCGCTTGAATAAATTATCAAGTCTGGAGATTGTGGTGTATATCATGCTGACTCTTTGGCCTACAACAAAACGGAGAAAGCAAGCTTTGAGTAAAATGAAAAAGTTAGTTTTTTATTGGTATGAATTTATTCTTTTGTTTTAATCAAAAACTAGATGTATCATTTTGCTGATCTATGACTATTTGACATATTTGTTGATCTTTGACTTGCATCCAACAAAGTTCACTGCTTGAGCCTGGTTAGTACCCACACCTGCAAATTATAGTTTTGCCACACCTGCAAAGCTGTAATTTATCTCTAATATCTGGCATTTAGTTTTATTTAATTGAATAATTTACTCTTATGCAAATTGTCTTTTAGGATGTACAGTTGATACTGACATAAGCACAGGCTTGGTCAGGAAGCGGGTGCGATTGCACTCGATAATTGACCAAGGAAATAATATTAAGTTGTGACAAACCGGCCAGATTTTTTAGTCGTTTTGAGAACATTTCAAAATAAACAAAAAAGCGCAGTAAGATTAACTGGACCGATGAGAGACAATTAAAAAAAGAAAAATAACTTTTTACGCGAGAAAACTTGAAGCAAAATAAACTTATTAGAGCAATTATTTTTGAAACGTCGCTCTTTATAATTTTTTTTATAAAATTAAGCGACATTTTTTATATAAAGTAACAACTATAAAGAAGCAAATGTTCTTCGATTTATCAAAGAGTATATATAATTTTTACTATATACTTATGTCTTATTTCCAGTTGCGGATTGAGGAGGTGGGGTGGGGGTAGTAGGACTATAGTCCCAGGACTCACAATGTTAGGGGAAATAGTCAAGAGGACCATTTGGTATTTTTTTTAGTCATTTTTTGGCACATAAAAAAGGCCGCCAAAATAATGCAGCCCCGGCCCTGAAAAGTCTAACAAGATTCAACCAATAAAACTAACACTAGATGAT